AGCACTAAACCAGTCAACACGGAGTGGTACAATGGACCGTGTACGTCTGCCGCAAATCAAGCTGCAGACTTTCGACGGAGACATCGATGACTGGCTGAGTTTCAGGGATCTATACACGCCCTTGATCCATGAGAAAGCAGAATTTCCGGATGTGGAGAAATTTCACTATTTGAAAGGTTGCTTAGCAGGCGAAGCTAAGGCGCTAGTCGCTCCGTAACCGTAACTAACGTCAATTATAAAATAGGGAGTCGTTGCTAAAACGTTTCAACAACAGTAAGCTACTAAAGAGGAAACAGGTACAAGCGCTGGTCAAACTACCTTCACTCACCAAGGAGTCGGTCACGGATCTCCACAGATTGGCTGATGGATTCGACCGTGCCGAATATAAGGATTTGCTGCTGGTAGAACTGCTGAGTTCTCGTCTGGATCCAGTCACTCGACGTGGCTGGGAGGAACACGCGTCCGCTAAGGAGCAAGACACTCTACAGAACTTGCAGGAGTTCCTACAACGGAGAATTCAAATCCTCGAGTCTCTACCAGCGAAGGCAGAACTCAAAAACGAGCCGCAACAACCCAAACGGAAGTCGTTTTCACCGAAGGTCAGCCACAACGCCGTACAATGGAATACCGCTAAGTGCCCATCGTGTACGGAGGTTCATGGACTACATACGTGTCCAGCCTTCCTGAAAATGTCGCTGTCCAGCAGGGAGTCGTTTCTACGAGCACAGTCACTCTGCCGAAACTGTCTCAAGCGAGAACATCTAGCTCGAGATTGCTCGTCAAAGTTCTTGTGTCGCAACTGCAAGGCTCGACCCACACCACGACAGAACGCTGTGCTTCAAGGGCGAAGGAAGAAGCAGTAGGAATGGATCACCCGAGAAGGCCAATTCGGGTAAAAGTGGCAACCGGAACGACTCGAGTTCTGATCCCAAGGCAGCGAATGCAGCATCGGTCGAGACAGCATCGGCGCAGTTTACGACATCGCAGGTACTTCTGGCTACAGCAGTTGTTGTGATCGAGGACAGCCAGGGTTCTCGCTATCCGGCACGTGCGCTATTAGATTCCGGGTCGGAATGCAACTTCATTGCTGAAAGTCTGAGTCAGTTGATGAAGGTTGCTAGCCAGAAGGTCGATATTTCAATATTGGGCATCGGACAATCCGGAACGAGGGTCAAGCGAAAGATTCAAGCCGTCGTCAAGTCTCGAGTCTCGTCGTACTCTGGACCGATGGATTTTCTCGTCTTGTCGAAGCTCACAGCTTGTCTGCCTACTTCTACAGTGCAGGCAAATGGATGGGACATACCGGCAGACATCGAACTGGCAGATTCAGAATTCTTCCGCTCGAGAAAGGTCGACTTGGTTATGGGCATCCAAGCTTTCTTCAGCTTCTTCCCATCCGGAAGGGAGATTCCACTGGGAACCGGTCTGCCAGTACTCACCGAATCAGTTTTCGGATGGATAGTGACAGGTGAGGTCCCTACATCAAATCATGGTGCGAGATATTTATGCAACATGTCGGTATCGAGCAATCTGGAGGAGCTAATGGCACGGTTTTGGTTCTGCGAGGAAGTGGGAGCCGTCAGCAAGTTATCTCCGGACGAGACGCGCTGCGAAGAGCAATTCGAGCGCACAGTCGAACGGAATTCGGATGACCGATACACCGTTACTCTCCCTAAGAACGACAATGTTTTAGCCGAACTAGGCGAATCGAGAGACATCGCGCTACGACGTCTTCGAGCTGTGGAACGGCGACTGGAAAAGGATCCAGACCTTCAGAAGCAGTACTTCAACTTCATGACCGAATATTTCGAGCTCGGTCACATGAGAACAGTGGACGATAACGAGGAGGAGACAGTCAAAAGATGTTTCCTGCCACATCATTCTGTAATCAGGGAGTCAAGCACCACGACCAAGGTAAGGGTGGTCTTCGATGCTTCGTGCAAGACGTCTTCTGGGATTTCGCTGAACGATGCCCTCTATGCTGGACCTGTGGTACAACAGGACTTACGGTCAATCGTTCTCCGCAGTCGTACACGTCAGGTGATGGTTGTAGCCGACGTTGAGAAGATGTTCCGACAGATTTGGACAATGCGTTCTTTGGTTGGGAACCGATGGAAGCGTTGTAGCGTATGAACTGCTGACGGTGACATATGGCACCAACTCAGCACCGTATCTGGCGACTCGTACGTTGAAGCAGCTGGCAAGTGACGATGGCTGCACCAGCAGTAGAAGAGGACGTATATATGTACGACGTTATTTCTGGAGCGGATGACGTCGAATCTGCGGTCGAATTGAGGCGACAAATCGACGCAATGATGAACAGTGGAGGATTCAAGTTGCGAAAATGGGCCTCCAACTGTCCCACTGTTCTTGAAGACATTCCGAAGGAGAATTTGGCGCTACCGGATTCTAATGGGATCGACTGGGACCAGGATGCAGAGGTGAAAACATTGGGTTTGACCTGGCTTCCCAACGTGGACTGTTTAAAGTTCTCGTTCACAATACAACCACTAGCGGATGACCAGATCCTAACGAAGCGACAAGTGCTCTGCTTCATTGCGAGATTGTTTGATCCACTGGGACTGCTCGGTGCGTATATCCCAAGAATCACAAAAAAACTGTTTGCGTAGTTAACGAACAGCCCCTTAGGGATATCAGAGAGACTCAGGGAACATCTCAGAAAGGATCTTTGGAGATGACTTCAGGGAAGCTTAGGGTAATTTGGGAGAAATTCAAATCAACCACAGAGTAGTTAGGGATTCTTCAACCATATTTGGGGAGCATTAAAAAGATTACTCAATCTTGAAAATGCTGTTTTAAGTATTCAAAATGGACCACTTTGTCAAGCAGTTTTGGCGTCGATTTCACAAAACTGGACCAGCAAATTACTATTTTTTATGAAACACACAAATTTAGGCTACTTTTCTCGTGGTTTCAGAAGAAAAAAAAATCTCAAAATATTGTTCTGTTTCGAGGTTCGAGTAATAGTAACGTCAATTTAATTTCTCGAATGAAGTTTCTACCACACAAACAATGTCGTGGAACAGTTTTTTGAAAATGTTTCTTCTAGAGCCTCGTGGAAATAGTGTCTTATTTATGCTAAGTTAGAAAAATTTGAAATTTATTGCCTAATTTCTTTCAAACCTCTGCTTGGATTTACCAAAAAGCGAATTGAATTTTCCTGGAAAAAACTGCTCGAATATGAGAAATTTCAATAGTATACTCCTGCACGGCGAATGAGAACGACCCAAATTTGAGTTTAGTTCACTCATAATCGCCAAAAGTGCAGATATGCAGGGATGAGTTAATTTGCCTCTTGATTCCTATGGAAAACCTCAAAATGCTGCCGGAAAATTGACGATAACTTTACTCATTCCTGGAGTAGTACAAATAGGCTTAGTGAATTCAATCTTTACTTTTCTCATATTCAGGAAGTTTTTCCTGGACAAACCTGCACGGCAAATCATACCAACTCAGCGACTGAGATTAATTGACTCAGAGAATTTTCTTTCCATACGAAATTTTCTCAGATTTGAAATAAACTGCAGTTACTCACAAGCTAGGTACTATGAGTAACTACAGTTTCTTCCAAATCTGAGTAAATTTCGTATGGAAAGAAAATTCTCTGAGTCAATTAATCTCAGTCGCTGAGTTGGTATGATTGGCCGTGTAGAGTTTCCTCATATTCGAGAAGTTTTTCCTAGTTTTCCCCGGCTTTTGCCCTGAAAATTCAATTCACTTTTGAGTAAACCTACACTCAAAGATAAATTAAATCATAAAAGCTTAAAAAGTATGCAGTTTCCCGCTTCACCTTATTGAGTCCAAGCCATGATTACTTCGGCAATAGTCATGCATGATTAAAATCGAAATAATCTTTCCAGTATTAAATTTTATTATTTTTGAATACTGATGTATAATCAAAAGAGATTAAAATTCAATCAAAAATTATTAAAATAGAATCTAAAATGATTAAAACTTATTCAAAAAAAGATAATCTACAATCTAATCAACCATGATTAAACTGGGATTAATATCAGATGCTTATTTTTTAATCATTCGATATGATTAAACTGAGTTTAATGTCAAATTGATTAAATTTCAAGCAAAATGGGAATTTAGTCAACTCGATTTGAAGTCGATCTGAACGACCGTGTGTACAAATCAGACAAATTTCAACTACTGTTTTAGCTTCATTCGTCGGGAATCCGTTTCATGTGAAATTCGCTTCGTCCGATTTCCGTAATGAGGCTCCTGGTTCTGGTTTTTTTGTAGGTACTCACCGATTGATTGAAATGATGCGACCGAATCCCTTGCCGGAGCGGATCTTTCCTTTCCCTCAGCAAATCAACGGTGCCGGTTTTCTGAACGATTTCGTGGGACGGTGCCGGAAAACGCCACACTTCCGGACACAACATTCTGAAGCAGCAAATTTAATTTTCACACGGCTTCTGATCCGATGTTTTTTCTTCGATTGCAAACTGTATCTGGCTTGGCTAGAATGCTACAGATTCCCTGAAGCCGCGTAGCCGCGGTTGTAAATAAACAAGAATGTGCATGCAACGGCACGCACGTGCACAAAGCACCCAAAAGCTTTTGTACTAAAAAAAATGTTTGGGGGATAGGAATCTCAACTGTCAGACTGCGATTTTCCTTTGTGTTGTTTTTTTTTCCAAAACGACACACGCTATTTCAAAACTCCCCAAATTTGTGTATGATCCACCCAGATTCGTCAAAACTGAACCCACCCAAAAATTGGTAAACTAAGTTGGGAATGACAAATTGACAAATGGACAACACTGCCCCTGAATCCGATCGATGTTGTTCTTGTGTCAACTTGTCACTCCCAACATAGTTTACCGATTTTAGTCTAGGTTCATTTTTCACCGATCTGGGTGGATCTTACTAAAATTTGAGGAGTTTTAAAATAGCGTGTGTCAAGCAGAAAGAACAGAACAAACTGAAATGTTTAGTCATCATCATCGATCATTCCAATAAATCCCAAATCACCGGACGACGAACATCGGAATCGAGAGTGGAAAAGAGCATCTGTGAATTTCCTTTGCATTTAGATTGACCGGAAAGAGCCAGGATGAGTGCAGTGACCGTCATCAGCGGATCGGACATCGTGAAGATCAACATTTCCAACTCGCACAACGATGCCGTCTCGTTCGAGCGGAAGTACAGCAAATCACTGAAGATTTCCGAATTCAAGGTAGGTGTGGGTGGGATTTTCACTTCAATTAAATAATTGTAATCGTCGATAATTAGGGTAAATTGGAGCCCATCACCGGTGGGTCGGCGGCTACCATGAAGCTGGAACTGTACAGCGGAGATCGGCTGGTGAACCGATTGGACGATGACGATAAGATGCTGGGATTCTACTCGATCGAGGACGGAATGCGGGTGCATGTGATAGACAACTTTGCCTTCGTGCAGGAGAATGTGCAAAAGTTCGAACTGAGTCAGGATGAGTACGACAAAAAGCAGGACAGCTTGAGGAACTTCTTGAGGCAGAACAAGCTGGGCAAGTACAACGAGGAAGAGATGGCTAAGCTGGAGGAAGAACGCAAGAAACAGGAGGAAGAAGATGCCAAGAAGCTGGAACAGGCCACGATCGGTGCTCGTTGTAAGGTTATGACCAAAGGACAACCCACCCGGCTGGGAACGGTCATGTACAAGGGAGAACTGGATGGTAAGCCGGGCGTTTTCATCGGAGTAAAATTCGACGAGCCTTTGGGAGTGAATGATGGATCGACTCACGGAAAGCGCTATTTCGACTGTCCTCCCAAGTATGGTAGCTTCGTTGCAGCCAAGGCGGTAGAAATTGGTGATTTCCCTCCGGAGAGGGACGAACTAGATGACGAATTGTAAATACTTGGCATTCCAGAACTAATCTCCTTTATTGAAACTAAGTCATTTCACCCGTGTCACCAGTTGGTTATCATCGCTTCATAATGCACTTAACTATTACTAGTGCTTGTCTCAAAACTTTGTCTAATTTTGCAAGAAAATAGTAGATTGATAATAATGAAGGACAAAGGACTTTTCTATGTATTCTTCGAAATCCAAAGAACAACGACTACCTTCACAGTTTTACCGTTTATTAGGTACTCAAGCAGATTCTACTTAAAAATTCCTATTTCTATTTACAAACTTCATCTCCAATCCAGCCATCCTACCTGCCATTCGCTTACTTATCTTCCTTCTGTTTGATTTGCTTCTCCAGCTTCTCAAACTCCGACTCCGTCACCTCGTCTACCTTGTCAAAGACCTGCTCGACGGACACCACTTCCGGTATGTAGAACTGCAGCATATTCTGCACTCCATTCTTCAGGGTCACGATCGAGCTCGGGCACGACGAGCAGCTGCCCTGCATCTTCAGCTTGACCACCCCATCTTCAAATGCCATGAAAATGATATCCCCACCATCCTCCTGCACCGTCGGTCGAATCTTCGAATCCAAAAGTTCCTTGATCATCTGTACCGCCTCGTCGTCGTCCTCGTTGACCTGCGTATCTCCCATCGGCTTAGCATCGGTCACCACCGGCAGTCCGGAGGCGAAGAAATCCATTACCACGGCAAACACTTCCGGCTTGATGATACGCCACTCGGCTTCCTCCTGTTTGGAGATGGTCACGAAATCCGCCCCGAAGAAAACCGACCGGACACCCTCGATGCGGAACAGGAGCTTGGCCAGCGGGCTGCACATCGACGATGCCTGGGTGGGGAAATCCATCGTTTGACCCTTCTCCAGGACGGCCACACCGGGAAGGAACTTCAAGCTGTCCGGGTTCGGAGTGTCCTGCGTTTGGATGAACATCGTGCGGGTATGGTTCAAGGTTGTGGTGCACGACGGGGTCAGAATTCTGGCGGATGCGGTTTTTGAGAGTGTACTCAGGGGGGTATTTGAACTGAATTGAGAGAAATTGTTTAAATTTGTAGGCTTATTCCAATCACGCGCAGACCACTTACATAACTTTAGTAGTGCCAAGCAGCATAGCCCTCAGATGGGGACCGCTGCGAAGGGTACTTCTGATCATTTTTCGTTATTCCGTTCTAGGATTTTCAGCCGCTCCGATGTAGATATCACTTCTCGCGATTATTCGAATCGAACTAGCACTTGACGTTTCTTCCGTCTATCGGCTCGGTAGCATTTGATAAACAAAAGGCTTTTTTAAGCTTTTTTCAACTTTCATTTTCATAGAAGAATGAGGGGCATCCGGTTACTTCTAGTACTTCTAATTCTAACCAAGGTTAATAGAAGGGTGGGTGGGTTGAATCACGGTGACCAACTAAACAGCGGAACCGAAGACGAAAATGGGTCCTCATAAACGCATACCATTACTTGACCTTACTTTAACTGAAATGGTTGTGGAACTTTACATGAACGTTTGTGTGATAAAGTTTTATCCTTATTTATTATGGTTTATTGCAACTGGACCTCACAAAAATAATAGGTTGTTGAGAAGAATTACCATTAAAAATTCTTGTTTTCTCCTTACATTTTTGGAAAAGCATTAGATCCTTTTTACTTAAGGTTTAAGAAATTTAATGGTAATGGTTATGGTAGACAGTAAAGTCCATAGATGATTTTTTTTAAATCGGTCAACTTTATGAGGAATAGATCGCGAATTAGTAATCATTAATTTAACCATGTGGCTTCCCTGAGGTAAACCTGATGTGGTGAAGAAGCTAGCTGATCTGAAATCTCCTATGGCAACCTTTAGTTGGCGTCCGGTAAGATATGATCGAAACCAACGCAGAAGATTACCGCATACACCGAGCCTGCCGAGTTTAGCAATCGCAATAGCATGGTTCAACTTGTCGAATGCTGCGGATAGGTCTGAATAAATAACATCCGTTTGAACCCGATCCGACATGCTTTCGGTTATATACGATGTGAGACACAGCAGATTGGTAGTTGTAGAGCGGCCGACAGTATACCCAACAATCAATACGAAACTAACGATTTCAAATTGGCTCACTACTTGACTAGCCTATTGGTCCCAAGCAAATCGACTAACGTACCCCATTCTAGTATAAATTCCAGTACAGTGGAAGTTCGCTAATTGGGGGTTTTCTGGTTGGGGCGCTTTTTAATTGGGGGTTCGCTAATTGGGGCGCGACCCAATTAAAAAGCAGTCATCTGTCAAAATCTGATGTCAAAATCATGCTGACGTTTTGATGTCATATTTTTTGGGGGGTCTTTCAATGATTGATAAAAAATAACGAAAAACAAAATATTTTTTGTAAAAAATCAATTTAATTCATAAAACAAGCAAATTAAAACAAAAAAAAAAAAACAGATTGCGTCTCTTCCACTCTGCTTCCAGCAATTCAGTTCGCAGGGTTTTCAGTTTCAAAGTCTGAGCGGGATTGTTCTGTACGAATTGGATCACGTTATCAAGCAACTTCATCGCGGTTGGAAAATCGATGTCTTCGGGTTCTTCGTGTTCAGTAGCAAGGGCACTTCCGTTCAAAGCCTGCGGGGTGGTATCCAACCATTCTTCCTCCGTGAAAGTTAAATCGTCTGCTTTATTCAAAACTGCGCTGACTATTTCTTCGTCTCTGAACACTTCGCTGGTTATTGAAACTGTTGTACCATTGGAATCTACTACTCGATCCTCAAGCCAAAGCTGGATTTGCTCGTCGGTTGTGTTTGTTCCGGCTATGCCATCAATTGATGCTACAAGGGACTTGAAATCAGCAAAAAGATCCTCCGCCTGTTCAGACATGCTCCATTCACAACCTGGAAACTCATCGAACAACTTTTTCCAGGAATTTTCAATGGTAACCTGACTGATTTCGTCCCAAGCTTCAGCAATCCTATCAATACTCTGCCGTAAGGACACATTTTTCAGCCGTTGTTCCAAGGGCAAATCTTCGTTTTCCAAAACAAGCTTAAGCATCAGCTTCCGTTTGTACCTGGTTTTGATTGCGTTGATCACCGACTGATCCATCGGCTGGCATTCTGCTGTCACATTTGGTGGAAGGTACATCACTTGAATTAATCCATCATCACTCTTCAAATCATCGCATCCATCGTAGTGAGCAGTACAGTTATCCAGAACCAAAAGCGCTGACGGTTCCAAATCGTGCTCAGCAGAGAACTTCCGGACAGCGGGAATGAACTCGTCATAAAACCAGGTACGGAACAACTGACGTGTCATCCAAGCTTTTTTGGAATTGTAGTAGGATACCGGTAATGATTGCTGAAAGCCGCGAGGAAATCCACGGGGGTTCTCGGCTACCCCAATGAACATCAGTTTCATTTTGAGAGAACCATCCATGTTCGAGCACGGCATGAATGTGAATCGGGTTTTGTTGAGCTTTCGTCCCGAAGCGACTGTCTCGTCCCATAATGCGATAGTGCGTGATGCCATCAGCTTGGTGAAAAGTGCTGATTCATCTGCATTAAAAATTTGGGCTTTTGTCACATTCATTTCCAATACTTTCTTCATGAGCACTTCCTTGAATTTAAGGTACGCTTCTTTATCCGCGGAAGCTTTCTCTCCTGCCACCACCAAAACACGTAATCCGAAACGCTGTTTAAAACGGCGCACCCAGCCATCCGAAATCAAAAAAGTAAGATCCAGATAAACACCAAGATCTTGAAAGCATTGGAACAGTTGTTCTGCTTTGGCCTTGATCACATCCAATGTGACAATAATATTAGCCTCACGTTGTTGCAAAACCCATAGGTAAAGCGCTTCCTCCAGTAAGGGAAAATTCTGCTCCTTCATCGTTTTTCGATTTTCCACGCCATGTTCTCTGAATTTTTCTAGTTTCATCCGAATTGACTCTTTATTTTTCAAAAATCGACCGACCGAGGATGCTCCGACACCAAACCTTTTGCCTAATATTTCGTGGGAACCGTTTCCTGCTTCAAATTCCTCGATTATTCTCACCTTCTGAGCCAAGGTAAGCGTAGTGTGCTTCCGTTTCACGACTTGCTTATTATCCACTCCGGAACTGGAAGCTGATACTCCTTCCATTGTGAAAGCTGAACAAATTTCAGGAGGATAATTGCTACAACATTACAAACAACGTATGAATGCACAAATATTTACCAGCGCCGGAAATAACTCAACAAAATATTCAATCGATTCACTCAATTTCGAGGGGCACGCAATTGCCTTTTTGACTGCGTTGGATTTAAAGTACAAGGTGTTCAACTACGTAATAAAGTAATTAAAAATGAAAATTAAGTATTTCATGTAATTAAATTTAATTTCACGTAATCAAAGCAGTGTCAGTGTAATTAACACGTACTTCAATTTGATAACGTAATTAATGTAATTATAAATTTATTTTCTGTAATTAATGTAATTAAAATTACACAAATGTAATTAAAAACGTACCCCAATCCTAATTCTTGAACCATTTATAAAAAATGAAGAAAACCCTTAATACATACTCGCATGAATCAATTTATTCAAGAACACTTCTTACACCCCGAAATACGCCCATTAATGTTTTACTAGACTACAAACATGACCAATTCTGCGAATAATTATACTAAATTTCTTGGAAACTGAAATAATCCACTCACGACAATCGATTTCATTCTCGTTTTGTATGTTCAACATAATGTCGTATCTAGTGCACTGTATTCGTTGAATAATGCGCTTTAATGCAGAACTAGAATAAAATCGATTGTCACGAGTAGGTTATATCGGTCTATAACTCTAGCGACAATATACAGTGAAAATGAAGTGATACGCATAATGAGGGCCGTGATTGCCGTACAAATGAAATGGGAATCACTGAGTTGCCTTCAAATTTTACATTTCCTTTAATTCAAGCAATGCCTCGAGCAAATTTCTTCCCGATTAAAAAATGTTCGAATTTTAAGCCATGCTCGCAGCTCAGTTCGACAGATGATGATATTAGCTTGTGCCTGAATTAACACATTCAATGGAAGATGTATTTGCATTTGCATTAATTTTCTGATGTTTCAATATTTCTTTCAAACTTAATATTTTTATACTAATAATAATAAACAGATTTAAGGCAGAGTTAATTAACAAAAAAAATATAATCAGGTTTTGGTTGCAGACACTAAGATGATTCAAACTAATTGTGTGCATTTATTTGTATTATCGCCATCATATGATCACATCCGTATTCAGAATTGACGCGATAGCACTTATGAAATTCGCCTCCCCATTATTTGTCTTTCCATGGGTCAACTAAACAATACTATGGGCAGAACTCCAAACCGATAGGAAACGATGAGTCCCATCTGCACAGGACACGAAATGATCGTTAACGATCAACTTGACACACTCAAGCTATCCGTGCCGGGAAGACAATTGCATGCTAGCTGCGATTTTTTCCCGGAAGTAGCGCAGCGTGTGAATGTCCAAAGTATTCACCAGCTCCAGTGTCCGTTCAGCTCTTTCTCTTAGGGGTTGTTCATAAACTACGTAGACAGTTTAGGGGGGGGGGGGGGTTGACAATTATGCACGGCCCATACAAATTTAAAAAAAAAATGTATGGACAATTGTCTACGCAGGGGGAGGGGGGTCAATAATTCAGTCAAACAAAGATACATCGGTGACTGATGCTTTCAAATACGATTGATTTCTAAATTGCTAAAAAAACATGCTTTTGAATTTAATTCAAAATACATATTTTAGTTTTAAACATGTTTTCAATTTACTGTGAATCATTCATATGTTTAGAGTACAAACAGATTTATTTTTGATTTGAATGAACAAAATTCGTATGCGTGGAGAAATAAATAATATTTTTACATGTAAATTTTGTTAATAATTTAAGAAAAAACTAATTATCTTGAATTTTTTGATAATTTTTCCCATTATTAAAAAAACCGTGTCGAAAAAACTATATTTTCAGGGCGGTAAACTTCCCCTTAACCATACATTTTGGGGTTAAATACAAAGAGGCAAAACGTGCTTAACATAATTTTCTATTGTAATTCTGTTTTCGTTCACATCCACCAAATTAAACCGTTATTTCTTACACAGCAAAAAAATAATTTTGATATCACGTCAAAGTGGATGCACTACAATCATGTCGAAAATATGGTGTAATATTACTTGCTAAAATGGACAAAATTATCATTAATACAATGCATGAACTGCCATTACGCTGCTTTTACTGCATTTGTTTATTTATGTGGTCATAAAAATTACATGAAATTTTCGACATGATTGTGGTGCATCCACTTTGATGTGATATCAAAATTATTTTTTTGCTGTGTAGGTTGAACCATTTAGCACAAACAAACATTCTTTTCATTGTCGCATTCTTCGGCGCTATAACAGGGGCGTGATCCAGGGTATAGGTTTTTGCCCTACCTACACCTCGGCAGTATTGAAATGCGACTACATTTCCAATCACGAACCGATCGTTGCATGTGATTTGGCACCAATCACCAACGTAGATTTCCTCGTAGGTCCCGGGAGATGTATGTTTATAGGGTCTATTCTGAAGTCTACAGCGGTAGCGATACAATCTATCAGAGCTGACATTATCCTTAACGTAGCAAAAGGGCCTGTGAAATTTTTGTATCTCGGGCCACTAACGAAAGGGTCTAACGGTACGCTGGGGGTAATTTAAGTACATTTCTCGCTGAAATTAATGGAGTTAATGTACTTAATTTATGCGACTTGTAATTAAAGCTGAAATTTGTACTTAAAAGTAATTAAATCAAAAAAATTCCGACGCTCGTAATTAAAGTAATTAATCATGTAGTTAACTGTAATTACTGTACTTAAAAAAGGCTTGCGTAGGAGTTAAAGGCTATTGCGTGCCCCTCGCTCAATTTACACTCACGCAAGACAAAAACTAAGTAGCTTCTCACAGCATCAGTTAAGCAGACGAAAGACTGAAAACCAAAACAAACGAGTCAAGCGCCCCCCGGTCAACTTTGACACTTGTCGACACCCCCCAATTAGCGAATGCCATTCGATAATCGGGGTGCAGTCGTGCCCCAATTAGCGAACGGCTACTGTACTACACTATGTTTGTTTTGATTCGCTATGAAAGTCTGACAGATAAAATGAGGGGTTAGTGGATTCTCCTAAGTTTCGAGGGGTGAATCGATTAGCTTAGGACCGAAGATAGTACCAGAGCTGAGCCAAAAAGTTGAGCTCGTTTCTTCGGGACCTTCTGGTCTTAGAGTTACCTCTATAGTAAACCCATGTTGATCAGCGCTCAAATACTGCTTGCAATGGGACAGCAACGGTTCCATAATCACTAGCTCGAATAGCTTCGAAACGGCACTTAGCGATGTAATTCCTCCATAGTTATCCACAGCTCGTTTGCTTCCTTTTTTGTGGACGCGAAACATGTGCGCAAATTTCCAGCAAGATGGAAGTATGCCACTGAAGAGAGACATTCGGAACAGGCGAAGAAGCAGAATTAACAAGCTAGAAATATGTCTCTTCAAAAATACATCAGGTCCAGGATTGAAGGATGACTTGAGCAGAGTTGTGGCCTTAGAAATCATCTCTGCATTAACATCAATTGCACCCAGCGTTTGATCATTTACTGAAACGTTCCTGGCAGCCAGGTTAATATCAACAATCAATACGAAACTAACGATTTTAAATTGGCTCACTACTTGACTAGTCTATTGGTCCCAAGCAAACGATTAACGTATCCCATTCTAGTCGAAATTCTAGTACTATGCAATGTTTGTTTTGATTCGCTATGAAAGTTTGACAGATAAAATGAGGGGTTATTGGTTTTTCCTATGTTTCGAGGGGTGAATCGATTAGCTTGGGACCGAAGAGAGTACCAGAGCTGAGCCAAAAAGTTGAGCATGTCTCTTCGGGACCTTCTATGTTAATATGGTCGTCAGTTAGTATCTTATTAGTGAATACACTGGCAAACTTTTCGGAAAAAAGGTGGCATATATCCTGAACGGTGGCAGCAACTTCTCCATTGAATTCCATAGACGATGGGAGGCCGGATTCCCTGCGTTGCTCGTTCACGTAGTTCAAAAAGGATTTCGGGTGTAGCTTAAGTTTGCGCTGGATGCCTCGATGGAAACTTGAAAAGCATTCACGACTGACTCGCTGGTACATGTGATTCAGCCTCACATAATGTAGTTTCAGAGGAAGCGTGCGATACTTCGTAAATCTTCTCAAGGCTGCTCTATTGATTGACTTCAACCCAACCTACGTAGCTCTCTCGTCTGCCAGGGAGGGTGAGACACTTTGTAGTGAGTTCTTTTCGGGACGTGTCTGTCAATGACATATGCCAAGACATGTGTAAAGGTTTGCGCTGCAGCCTCAACGTCATCTGGATAAAGGATGTTCTCCCATACCATGCTAGAAAATACATCTGTGATGGTACGGTGGCCAGCTTTACGGAAGTCATAAGAAACCGTAGCAGGATAGTCGTCGAAATTGATGGAGCCCTTTCCTGTGTGCTCACGGAGCAGAGGTCCAAACTACGATCATTTTCGTTAACTACATGGTTTATTTGAGAAAGCGTCGCTGCGCTGTAGTTGTCGAGAAGGCTAGTAGCTCCTGCGTGAAATGTAGAGCTATTCATGATCTGGACACAGGAATCCGCTATGAGATGGACTCCACGAAACGCCTGGCAGATTTAAGTCACCAAAAATGAATATCTCATCAACTGGAGTGGCACTTTCGATAACTGTGAAAACTGACCGACAGTGAGTATCGATGAGTTCATTGTCGTGGACTCGATCAGGTGGAATGTACAGAGCGCATAGAAATAGTGTGCGATCACCCAGATTGAAGGCTGTCCAAACCTGCTCCACATAGTTCCATGAATCGTTATCGATGGCCTTTGCCTCCAACCCACCACGGACAGCTACAAGGACACCTCCACCAGTAGATTTACGGCTGTTGTTAGGATTCCGATCGCAACGAAAGACCTCGTAGTCAGGACCGACAACTTGACTGGAAAGCGTTCGATAATCAAGCCACGTTTTGCACAGGACTATTATCAACAATCAATACGAAAGTAACGATTTTAAATTGGCTCACCACTTGACTAGCCTATTGGTCCCAAGAAAACGATTAACGTACCCTATTCTAGTCGAAATTCTAGTACTACGCAATGTTTGTTTTGATTCGTTATGAAAGTTTGACAGATAAAATGAGGGGTTATTGGTTTTTGCTATGTTTCGAGGGGTGAATCGATTAGCTTGGGACCGAAGATAGTACCAGAGCTGAGCCAAAAAGTTGAGCACGTTTATTCGGGACCTACTAGCAACAATCAATACGAAACTATCGATTTGAAATTGGCTCACTACTTGACTAGCCTATTGGTCCCAAGCAAACGATTAACGTATCCCATTCTCGAAACATAGGAAAATCCATTAACCCCTCATTTTATCTGTCAAACTTTCATAGCGAATCAAAACAAACATTGTGTAGTACTAGAATTTTGACTAGAATGGGGTACGTTAATCGTTTGCTTGGGATCAATAGGCTAGTCAAGTAGTGAGCCAATTTAAAATCGTTAGTTTCGTATTGATTGTTGGTAGAATCCAGTCGGTTACCTAAATAGAATTGACAATTTGAAACTGTTCCGTTCCGTATGTCTCCTGATATGTCTTGGTTTTTTTGCAGGACATCTTCATATTTTTTAGCAACTGTTTCTCCTGATGCTGCTGCTTTCGTGGATCCTAACCGGGTTCGTATTTTTCTTCTTCTTCGGATTGGAGGTTTTCCAGATCCAGAATGTTTCTCTTTACCGGCAGGACGGTACGACAGTTTTTTCTCGATTTTTGTCTTCAAAACAACAAAATAACAATCGAATGTAAACATTATTTGCAGTGGTGCCAGAATTGATTAATACATTTGCTTATCATGGATGTTTATGGGTGTTTGAAGTGTGTTTCTGTTGGTGTTAGCATTAAGTGGTAAGTGATTTACCCCCTGATTAAAATTAAAGGTCTCAAACATGGGAATTTACATCAGCAAAAAAAATCCCTTGAATTCAACTTTGGTTCATCGGATCATCCCACCTTTACTACAAATCTTATATACATACATAGCGTGCTCGGCTTCAACCCTGGCAGACATTAAAAAGGCCTTTTTCTGCTGTCAAATTCATTGCGACATTTTCGACAGCGCCAGTGCGAAAAGAAGAACTTCGTCACTCTTTTCCTCCATATCACAAAAGCAAAACGAACCAAAGTGGTGCTGGTGAAAAACAGTGAAATTTATCCGTAGAAAAATCCTGAATTCCGATTCCCAGCAGCGTCCGGAAGACACGCCCAGCAGTGTCCACACGATGGCAGACACGGTGGACGGTGGGGACATTCCCAAGTCGAAACGACCTTCAGGTGAGCGCTATATGAGATGCTATTGTTGGTGTTCGGAGGAAGGAAAACAAGGAAGTTATTGATTTTTCACTTCTGGAATTTCCCCCAAAACGGGCTGTGTATGTTTTCCATTTTTAGGAAATTTTTATGGATTGGGATTTTATTTTACGTTGAAAATATATTGAGTTTTTAATGTTAACCATCGTTAGCTTTATGATCTAGTTTTATCGATTTGAACTGGTATGAGTCATAGCCTTGAACTTGCCCAATATTTACACAGTGGCTTTGGTTCTTCTTCCACAGACTCTGCCTTCAAGCAGCAGCGACTTCCGGCGTGGCAGCCCGTGCTGACGGCGGGTACCGTCCTCCCTGCATTCTTCGTCATTGGAATCGCTTTCATCCCCGTCGGGGTGGCACTGCTGTATTTCTCCAATGCCGTGAGTTGATTGGCCAACACAAATCGGTTTAGTTTCAGTCTAAATTTTTATTTATGGTTCCAGATCACGGAGTTCGTGTACGATTACACCAACTGCATCCAATCGGGCAGCATGAATCGCACCTGTTCCGAAGTGCTCAGCTCCAAGGAGGCGGACGAGTGTTCGTGTGTGGTAAACTTTACGCTGGAGAAGGATTTCCTCGGCAAGGTGTACATGTACTACGGGTTGACTAACTACTACCAGAACCACCGGCGGTACGTGAAATCCCGGGACGATGACCAACTGCTGGGTCGCTTGTCGATGACTCCATCGAGCGATTGTGCCCCGTTTGCGTACGTCGATGACAACCAGGACAAACCGGTGGCCCCCTGTGGAGCGATTGCCAATTCGTTGTTCAGCGATACGTTCGAGCTGGTATCGGAAAAGTACGGTCCCGTACCGCTGCTGAGGACGGAGATTGCCTGGCCATCGGATAGGAAGATTAAGTTCCGCAATCCGGAGGGCGATCTGCGGGAGGCGCTGAAGGGATTTTCCCGACCGAGGGACTGGAAGAACGAACTGTGGGAGCTGGACCTGCACAATTCGGATAACAATGGATTTCAGGTAAGACATCCCACCTGAGAGCTACTGTCATTTAGATACCATGGTTGGTGGATTATCTCTTATAGAGTGAATTTATCCTGGACGGTTTCAGTTTACATACGAAGCAATTGTTTTCGACGTCGTCAAAACAGATCCTTTACTTTGGATAAAGATCTGAGCTGGTTTTGGGACAGGACCGAAGAACGGCCTCCCAACTGATGAAGTCGACATTTGCTTTGTTCAATGAAAGCTCGAAAAAGATCGCTACAATTTGCGGGCTCGTTTCTGGCGTTCATTCAGCCAATCCGAGCTACTGCAAGGAAACGTTTGATGTTTTAGATTATTCGATTAGTATCTCATAAACACTTATGTATTATATGAACATTTAAAGTGGAAGATTCAATAGAACGTTTTTGACCAAACCCACGGTATTAGCCAGGGTGTCTAAGAGAATTACTTTGAGGTTCTTAAAGCTTTCAGTAAGTTCCCCATATTTTATGAAGCTTCACTGACATTCTCAGCATTTCTTTTCACTCCTCAGAACTTCTGTAAAATGCCTACAATTGTTGTGAAAATAATGGAACTTCACTGAAGATCCGTAGAGGTAACTCTAAGACCAGAAGGTTCTGAAGAAGACATGCACTAAACTAAGGACACGGTTTTTTTAAAACTTTATTTTTGAGATTTTTAGCCTTAGGCTAGTTCATCTCCTCCATGAAAGGTGGGGCCTCAGAAGGAGGATCCTCAACAGAGTAGTTTTTAGAAGTGTTTACTTCAACCGAAAATTGATTCCTGGCTCGATCGTACATTTACACAACATTAAAATCTGAATAAGACAGAGCTCCCCACCGGAGGAACCGGGAGGGCCCCCACCAGGCAGAGATGTCCCAACAGCCGGAAGGAATTAAAAAAGACTAAACTTAAAAAAGCGATTTACTGCTGCCAGCGTGGAGGGATCATCACCCAGCATGTCGCGTATGCTATTTGGAAGCCCGTGGAATTTCCGCAGGTTCTGATACTGAGGGCATACGCATAGAATGTGCTCGATTTAGGCTGGAGTTCTACAACCGACGCAAGTATGACGCTGTGCGAGATCTTGCTGTGACCGGTCCTCAAACGCGACGCTATCTTCTGATCCCGCTGGTTCAACTGTTCTGCTAATTCCTCGTCGTCCCTTTGATCCGTCTGATGAAGAGGGAGCGATTTTGGGCCCACTCTGCGTCCCAAGCTTCCCGTACTTTGCCCACGATCCAGCGCTTGACATCGTGTAACGGTACTTCGTTGGTATAGCGAGGGGCAGATGGTCCTGCCCCAGCTAGAAAGTCAGCTTCAGAGTTGTCTGGTATTCCGAAGTGCCCCGGAACCCAGCAGAATACCGTGTTTGATGGCGATGAGTCGGGGCCTTGGATGTCAGGAATTGTATGACGCTGTGCGAATCCGCGAGGACCAGGATCGGTCGGGCAGCTTCAGCAGAAAAGACAGAACATTCCGGCGGTAAGCTGCAGCTGATTGGTGTGATGTGTCCGGCTAGACCGATACCGACCCCGGCCCTAGAGCGAGATCCGCCCGCGTATCGGTGAGTGTGGGTGGGTATTTTTTCCCTAACATTTCTGCTACAGTCCTTTTCATGGCCACGGAATTGTCTCCGGCCATGACAGGTTCAAATGTTCTTAATCCGGCTTTCGATTTTCGGTAATGGTGTTTGCCAGCATTTGTCTCTATGCCAGTGGACCCTGGCCACTGGGGAGAGATTTTCGTTGGCAGCCGTGCGAAGGAGGAAGATCCCTTGATTTCCGGATGTCTTCGAGATGAAAGCAGCGGCTTTGGTTGCGATAGCTGCGGTTATACGGAAGCGGAAAGGCAGGATGCATGCAGCGTCAGCGGGCGTGGATGGCAGCAGGCCAGAGACAATCCGGACGTAGGTGTTTTAGATTGGTGCTAACGTAGCTTATCCTACAGGTCATCTCCAACCCGTATAGAAGTCGACTGTCGACAATTGCACTCGCCACGTGAAAACGGATGCTGCGGTTGTTCGATCTATTCTGTCGGTAAATGGTCCGGATGAGATTCACTTGGCTGCGGCAATTTTTCTTGACTGCACTGAAATGCTGTTCAAAGTTGAGGAATCGGTCAACGAGAACTCCCAGAACTCGGACGGTCTTCTTCAACGGTATGGACTGGTCGTCGATTTTGATCGGTGGTCCGCTAATTCTGTGTCGAGAAGGGCAGACATGGCACCTGATGCTTTTAGAGGCTGATAATTCAAAGCCTACTGAGAGGGCCCACCTGGTGACGGCGGAGACTGCCGCTTGGGCTCTCATCCTTGTAGACTCCATTCATCGCCACGATGGACAGGACCCGTTTCCTCGGGGAAAAGCCGGGATTTGGTGTTGCCGACTGCGACTCCGAATGAGCGGTTGGACAAGAAGTTCTGGATGAAGTGAACGATGGGTCCGTTAAGACACCAGTCGATTAGTTGCTTAAGGACGAGGGGCGTCCACGGTCTGTTGAAGGCCTTCGATATGTCGAGCGATACTATCTCGGTGTGCAGACCACTGTCGTAGCCGTTCTTGAGAACTTCCCCTAGGGTTGCGAAATAGGTGGACATTCCGAAACCTTGTCGGAAAGCGTGCTGTCGGTGATCAAGGAAATTTCCAGCTTCGAGGTGTTGCTCCAGTCTTCGATTGATCATACGCTCTAGGACTTTGGCCATACAACATGTTAGCGCTATTGGAGGGAACTTGCTGACTTCACGGGTGGCTACCCCGGCTTTCGGAATGGGAACTACCAAGTTTTCCTTCCATACTGCTGGGTACCCGTTAGTGAGCCAGAGCTTGTTGAAGAGGTCTAGCATCTAAGGACACGGGATGTGGCGTTTCCTTAACCTCAATCTACCTGCGCACCAACTCTCGAAACATAAACAATTATCAAAATATTGCTTGCAATGGATAGATATCGAGTAAACTAGAAGATTAAGTGTATTTTTCAACCGATTCGAGTATGAATATGGCATTAAATCGGGTTTTGAAAGTTGGTGCACAGGTAAAAAGTGAGGTTACCGGACACCACTGACTACAATAGATCAAATTACTGGTCGCAGTGGTGTTAGGTCCCGAACAGTGGAAAACAATGTGGGAGAGTCATCCCAGAAGAGGCCGAAATCACGACAACAGAAATTTTTTCTGCCATCCGATCGAGCGCATCGCAACTATCGCCAGGTCCCGACGGTCTTCCGAAGGAGTTTTGCCTACGGGCTTTCGATGTGATTCGTCGCGATTCAGGTCGCGAATCCGGAATGAAGCCATCAGATCAAACATTTCAACCCAGTTCGTCGGTGGGGTGATCGTGTTGGAGTAAAAACGCGGTGCGAGGGTGCGTTCATATAGGTCAATTAGCTTGATCAACTATGAGTACAAAATCCTATCTCGCATTTTGAAACACCGTCTTGAAAATGTGCTCCGTACTCATTACGTATTGACAGGATCACAAAAGTGCTCGATTGCCGGGCGCAACATATTCCAAACCACACTCGGATCAAAAGATAGAATCGCTCCGCTGAAAGCAAACGGAAGGCAGGGTAAGCTCATTTCTTTTGATCTTGATCATGCGTTCGATCGTGTTGATCAGCATTTTTTGTTCAAAACGATGCGAACCGTGGACCCCACTTTCTACACGACAATCTCGTATACCTACGGCTTAATGTCGATCAACGGGCACCATTCCCGATCCAGCGATCAGTTCGACAAGGCGACCCAGATAAGAAAGTTTCCAGCGGCAGGGGAACTCACATTGCTGTGCCGAGAGATTGAATAGCCTCGCAAGTGGAAGGCAGAGATTGGCTACACAACGTTTTAGAACTGATGACGGAATGCCGTCAGGTTCGGCGTCGAACGAGAGCTTCAGTTTGCGGAATAACGAAACTAAACACATCACGTGGCATGCCAACAGTAGCGTACAGCACTTGTGTTGGCGAAGCGGAGAAATCGTGGAACACTTGCTTGAAATGACGAGCATACAAGTCGCATTTTTCTCTTTCGCTATAAGCCGAGTCATTCCCGAGAAACATGGAACAAGGCAACCCGGACTCCTTCCGTTTGGAGTTGACAAACGACCAAAAACTTTTCGGATTCGTGCGAAGGTTCGCTTCCGTGCGTCTCACGTGTCGATTATACAGAAAACGATTGTAATTTCGATAACTACGACTCGCAAAATTGAACAGTCGTTTGTAGTACGGCGAGCGAGAGTTACAATACTTTCGGAGGGCGGCAGAGCGTTGACGTTTTAGCACGCGTAGGCGTGGGTTAGACCATGCAGGCTTTAGCGGAGGTCGTCGAGCTGGGACAATGCGGAAAATAGCATCTTCCAGTGCAGAAATAATCCACAGCATCATTCACGCTAGCGGCTGTTTCGATAAATTGCCAATCAATTTCCGCAAGCGTATTGTTCAATGCAACATAATCGGCCCGGCGAAAGTCCAAAGAGTAGCACTCAGATGACGGCGTAAAAAGAATCGGCGTAGGTAAACTAAATGACACGACGAGAGTGGGATGATCGGCATCTAGATCAATCAGTGGCTTGACCGGCAAGGAAACAGAAGTGCCCGGTAGTGCGGAATCATTTGCCAGGACAAGATCTAGCAAACGTCCATTTCGGTTCGGAAAAGTATTCACTTGTGTGAACCCGTAAAAGTTAAAACCGTCCAAAAGAGCACAGCAAGCAACCGGCATATGCGAAAGCAGTGGATCAATTAATGGTGTGCCACTGTCTGTAAAGCGCCACTGCAGACCAGCTTGATTGTAGTCACCAAATACGAAAGCGGGAGAGCAGGGACTTAATTGTGACGAAATTGAGCCGAACGATTCCACATGCTCACGGATGATCGTGCAGTCGTTTTTGCGGTCGGGAGGCAGGTAGATTGCGCCTACACTAAGCTTGCTTTGTGAAAGTTCTACGACAATCCACAGCTGTTCCAGTTGACTACGGTGTGTTCCGGATGAGCAGATGAACCATTCGGGGATAAC